GGTCTGGGGTTGGCACAAGAGTCTCTCCGGAGGGGCACGAGCCAGGCCTGACCCTCGGAACTGGCCTGAACCCTGCAGCCTGACTGAGGAGGACGGATCATTTCTAGCCAGACCAGCGCCGCTCCCTCTGCGAAGTCCCAGACGATGTACTGGCTCCCGGCAGTGCAGGAGATGGGCCTGTGCCAGGCTCCAGGGTTGCTCCTGCCTGAGCGCACCCGGCGTCCCCAGCAAGGCGTTCCGAAGCTTCTGAGACAGGGACATGGCCCTTCAGGCCTCATATCACAGAACAGCCCTGTGTTAATGGTTATCAGACTACTAAAGAGTTGGAGTCGGACTCCCACCCGAGTGGATGCGCTGCTTGTTCCCCCCCCGGCTTGCTCGTGACTTCAGATCTGGCAGAAAAGCTTTGCTAAGGAGACAGGCCTTGCACGATGTCTTTGGCGCTGGCTGTTCTCCACAAGCCTGTTCCCCAAACATGAATATGATTCTCGCATGATTTGTCCTGGGCCCTGTCCCCGAGGAGCGCTGTTTTCTCTGGGTTGTGGATGGCAAGCCCGTCCCTGATATATCTGGGTGCTGAAACGTTAATGGCTCTGGAATTCAGGACCAAGGCCTTGCACAGGCAGCAGATCAGAACTTGGAGCCAGGGCAGAGCGCAGGAGGGATGTGCTCTTGGCTGCTTATCCCACTGAGGAACTGGAGACTTGTTGGCTACCCCCTTCAATCACCTTAAGCCACGTGGAGCAAACACCTCCCATCTCCTGTTCTGAAATGTCACCAGTTCAGGGGCAGAGAGCCTGGAGCCCAGCGGGGCATACGCCATCATAGATCCCTGGACAGCAAGGGTGGGCCAGCACTTACGGCACTAGCCAGAGACTTGGGTTTAATTCCCAGCTCTGCCACAGACTCCCTGTTTGTCCTCAATCTAGTCCCTTAAACTCTCTGTGCCTCAGTACAATGGGGAAGATAGCCCTGCCCTGCCTCCCAGGGTGGTTGGGAGGAAAAAGGCACTAAATATTGCAAAGGGCTCAGAGACTAAAGTGATGGGCGCC